TACAATATTTTCGGATCGTTAGCAGGTAAATTTATGAATCACTTAAGTAGCCAAAATAATTAGTACTTGTCGTAGAGAGGAAATGGATTACGCAAAAAATTATTTTGAAGTTGGTTTCCACTGAAATTGTTCAAATATCCGTGTCAACAGTTTACACGTCAATGTCTAGAAAAATCACGAGAAATCGATTAAGATCATTGCAAAGCACATTAATTTTAGAAAAGTTGATACAGTCGATGTCTATTTGGATCCCAACATTAAATATTTCTGAAAATGAAATTTGAAGTGTACTTCGCTAGACATATTGTTGCTAAGGCCAGATTGTGTAGAAAATTGTGTCGCGCAGACGTTTTTCTCGACAGACAAGACAAAACTTGATAATTATTAGAAATTTGAAAACATGGTGGAAGCGGGATACATATAGATAAAGCTACTAGTCGTAGGAATACATTCCTTACACATGTAAATTTTAAGATTTCCATTCATAAGGGGAACGTGGGAGAAAAAAGAAATAAACAACATTAACGCAAAGTGCCTCTCAAATAGCGAATTTCCTCAAAAGCCAGCAACTAAGTGCACTAACGAAATAATTACTTGATATTATCTGCGACATTACAGGGTTGGAGCTGAAGTCCGGTCACGAATATGCCAATTGTTTGCTTAATGAAAAAATGGCACTCGTTGAACCTTCATTTTTGGTGATAATAACAATAATCATAATATTCTGCATAATTAAGAATTGTAATAGGAGAGCTATTTGCGTAATTAGAGCTGACGTTTGACAGCGATTTGTCAGAGATATGTCCATTTCAGTGACCACTGATAACGTGTTTGACCGGGCAGATGAAAAAGGTTTGACGCATTTTGGGACAAATAATTAAGACTATACATGTAATTGGGGTTATAGAATGGTAACATCTACAAGCTCAAATAATTCTGAAAAATGAAACGTTTTAACCCTGGATATGGAGACGAATAGGGCGAGACAAAAATTAGTAAGGATAAATACGCAAGACATCATACCTTGGACACATACTGAGAAGTGAGAAAAAATAATAATAATAAATAATAATATTAATAAATGGGCTTTATTTCGTACCTAAGTAAAAGTACAAAAAAGGCGAAGTGTCGCTAAAATTAGCGTTTTTCAACTTAACCTTAACCTTAACAAAAAAAAAATATATATATATATAATAAAACATTCTACCATCAAAAATGTATCCATAATTCTCAATAATTACTAAATAATTAACAACACAGAACAATTACAAGAATAGTCCATATTTCTAGCATTTTGTACTCATCATCAGACCTCGACTTGTAGTTTTAGTTTAAGCCTCTTTTTAAAATTAAATAACGTATAGTTTTGGAATGTAACAGGCAGATCATTGTATAATTTAATAGCATTGTAGCTGAATGATGTTTTGTAGACAGCCTTAGAATGTAAGGGTATCACTAACATATTCCTATTCCTTGTATTCAGTTGATTTATGTCACTACATCGTGTTAACTTATTATGCAAATATTGTGGTTGTTTGGTAGCTAAAACCTTATGTGTGAGTGTCAATATGTGAAGCTTTTGCATGCCTTTAATCTGCAGAATACCAAGTTCCTTAAATTTATGAGAAATATGATCAAACTTTCGTATTCCGCAAGAAAATCTGATGCACGAATTCTGAATACGCTGTAATTTGCTTTGTAGTATTGTAGGTTATCGGGAGAAGGAAACAATCATGGCCTAGTCCCTAGTCTATGATTTGACTAACGTGGATGCATAAGAATTATTCCAGGCTGTTAAAGATAGGAAAAATTTGAAAAATGTAGTCTCCGTTGGTGGAGACGGCATAGAAGAAAGATAAATTGATGGATAAATACTGAATTTTAGTATAAAAGTCACAGGTGAAAATGGCAAGATGGCGCCTAGACACCATGATGGAAAAATAAAATAAACGGATTAAGAGACATGTGACAAGTCATATTCAAGCTTCTAATATGTACTTTGAAACATCATATTAGACGAAAATACCCCTGGTTTGCGTAATAATTGTAAAGTTTTATTGCTTCAGCATAAAATGGGTACACCAATTTTTGTGGGAAAACTTTTTATTCTACAACAAAGAATGAGAAACGTGTTTTTTTGGGATGCAATCGAAAGTGTTGGCAGGAACGAAAAAACTCTTCATATTAGATTTTTAGGTATTTATGAGACCTACGAAATGAGACCACACGGAAAAAGATCCAACAAATAGCAAAAAAGCTATGGCTGAAAAAAGAGGCAAACAAGTTTTGGCTTTTATTGGTAATGCGTCGATGGTTTCTCCCAAATACTTGAAATTCTTCAAATTTATACGACTCACGCTTCTAAATAACCACGACAAAATTGGAATAGATTGGTCAAGTAGTTTTTGAGAATTTCTAATTGTTTATCCCAAAACACCTGTTTTCCGGCCATCACTACTAGTTTATTTATCAATATACAGGGTTAGTTCAAAGGCATTTTATAGCAAAATACATTAGTTTGCTTTGCCGATATGAATCGCAAACCCTTCTGGAAGATAAATGTTATGTTTATGCAAAGAGGGTGGGTTACGTTTTTTCTTCTAAACAAATTCAAACATTTCGTATTTATGAGTAATTCGCAAATAAGATGATAGACACATCCGCTTTGTTTTAAAATGTGTAAAAATATGTTTTTCGAATATCGTAGCACATTTATTTGTTCAATTACTCTCCTTTTGTAGGTCTCATAAATACCTAAAAATCTTATTAGAAAAGTTTTTTCATTCCTGTCAACACTTTCGCTTAAACCTCAAAAAACGCGTTTTCTCATTTTTTGTTGTCGAATAACAAGTTTTCCCACAAAAATTGGTGTACCCATTTTATGCGTCCATGTTTTAAATACCCCCTTGAACAACTTGCACCAATAAAACCAGACTTTACAATTATTTCTGGTAAATTTGATTAGTCTAACTATAGAATGCGAAATTATGTATCTCTCAAAATTATCATCTGGGGGGCTGTTGAGGATTTTGAACACTGTACCTAAAGCAACAACTCATGTTTGTAGTATGTGTAAGTTATATCAGTTTTCTGTTATTTTTTTTTTATTTAATCTGTAAAACTTATTCTTCCAAGATGCCCTAAAATATTGAACGTATGCATCAATTTCATCATCTCCAGTTTGAAGGTGCTGACTTGTACTGAAAAATAAATGCGGGATACATGGAATTAGAAGAGTGACCGATTTTTTATTCTTATGGTTTCGTATAAAAGCAATCATGTTATCAGTTTGTCTTCGTCTAAAATCTACAACACCGTAATCTAAAACCAGTTTGCCATTCATGAAAATGCCCATAGTACAAAAATATTTACCTCAAGATACATTTAACTGTAAATAATTCTGGCTTATTAGTAATAATATTTATCTGTCGCCACCATAGGAAATTGTGCAACACATACGTAGTCATGCCATAAGTTCTGTCCCTCGTTTTCAAACAAGTGTAGACCTGTTAATACTTGTCCGATTGTTTACATTGTGGTGTCAGTTGATTAAGCGCTTTTCGGGTAATTACATATACCTCAGTTTGTATTGATCTCTCGAAGCATAACGATGGAGTGGGGCAAGGCAGAGAACCGTATTGCAGTGATAGCTTTACATAAGTGTAATCACAGTGCTAGTCAGATTTTTGAACTCTTACGCGGCCTTCAAATATCGCGTAAATTTGTGTCTAGGACCATTCAGCGGTACAATGAGACGTCCTCTGTTGATGACAGGCCAAGAAGCGGAAGACCTCGTCAAGTAAGGACTCCAGCAGCCATCAAAGCCGTAAAAGCCAGGATTCAAAGGAATCCACTCCGGAAGCAGAAGATCCTATCCAGGGAAATGAAGATTCCTGTCCGGACGATGTCGCGCATCATTAAACAAGACCTAGGGCTAGGGGCTTACCGGAGACGTACGGGCCAGCGACTTACGGCCACCTTGCGACACATCAGGGCGACAAGATCCAAGAAGCTCTTGGAGAGGTACGCAGCTGGGGGATTCCGAAAGATTTTGTTCACGGATGAGAAAATCTTCACCATAGAAGAAAAATTCAACCGACAAAATGACAAAGTGTATGCAAGGAGTTCACAGGAGGCTTCGGAGATCATTCCGAGAGTTGAGAGAGACCACCACCCTGCGTCAGTCATGGTTTGGTGGGGGGTGTCCTACGAAGGGGTCACTCAGCTCCATTTCTGTAAACAGGGCGTGAAAACAAAAGCGGCAAACTATCAGAGCGACATACTGGATCCTATCGTCAAGCCTTTAAGTGGTACATTGTTTGCCAACCAACACTGGGTCTACCAGCAGGATTCCGCCCCCGCTCACAAGGCTAAGAGTACGCAGCGCTGGCTGGAAAGCAATGTGCCAGAGTTCATTGCTGCGGAAGATTGGCCCTCAGGGAGTCCGGACCTCAATCCTTTAGACTACAAGTTGTGGGACCTGCTAGAGCAGTTGGCCTGCTCCAAAGCCCACCGTAATATCGAGTCCCTGAAAGCGGATTTGATCCGATCAGCGGCAGCTATTCCTTTGGAAGCTGTGCGTGCAGTGATAGATGAGTGGCCCGCGAGATTGAAGCAGTGTGTGAAGGCCAAGGGGGGACATTTTGAATAAAACTGTTTGATTATGAATTCTAAAAATGTTGTCGAATAAATAATATCTTTCATATAAATATATCTTATCTTGTTTCATTTTTATCATGAGATTATCATGGGACAGAACTTATGGCACGACTATGTATTATTTACTAGTCTAGTTCCAGGGCACCCACTGTGATATTTTATCATTCATGATTGGTTTCTACCCATTTTTCTACCTATGTGGTGAGTAATAATATTATTATATAGTTACGGAATTGGACTTTAGAGGACCCGGTATAATTTTATTTTAGTATGAGATTTTCAGCACAAAACGTCGATTAGTCATGAAGTTTTGTGTTTCGTCATTTAACATTTAACAATATGTCAAATATTGAGATTTGTGTCAGTGTTGTGAGAAATTAATAATGTAGTTTTAGATCTATATAGTTCAAAATGTAAGGAATCTTATGGTTTCTCGAAACTGCACAAGTAAGTACATAGTTTTTTCTTTCCATTTTAAGCTATCTGATTATTCAATTCATATTCGTTAATGAAGGCAAGATCATATGCTTTTTTAGTTAATATAGAATCTATTTCCGTGCATTTTGTATTGTATTGTAGGTATCACATGTAGGTAGATATAAAAAACTCTGATTACTTGATAATTGATGGCAAATTATATTTTTGTTCTACTAAAGGCGTTCAGTGATATTTATTTGTACAACCGATGATCCGTATTTTGTATTTTAACGAAAATAATCATGAGTGGTGGAAAAGGCATGAAAATGTATTCCCAATGTAGTTTTAATGGAAATAGATTTTTATGGCGCCTGCCACATCAGCTTCCATTGACAGGGAATTTTCGAAGGGCTGCACTGTTAAGAGCCTTATTTGCCCTAATACTTAGCGAATGAAAAGCTAGTTCAGAATTTTTTATTTTTTTGTATCAGCCGATGAAGATTTGTTTCTATTTGAATTTACATTTATATCATTTTTTTATTTGTTATACGATGAACAATATATTTTGTTCAATATGTATTGTTTTATCAGGGTCATTCCGTTGTATATTTATAATTTATTCGTTTTTATATTACTAAAATTATCACGAAATATCAAGACTATTTCAATTTTCAGGTACTTGACGTAAACACTACTTGACTTGATTTCTATTGGTATAGTTGTAGTCACCGTCTCTGGCGGTTACGTCATCAACGTCGTATGAAATAAGTAAACAGATCGAGTCTCGGTACGATGGGAGTATTTTCATCTGCTACTCTCTCCAGTACGCATGAAGTGGGTAAAAGGGGCCCGCTGTTTTCATTCTCTTCCTGGAAATAAATTTAGCACGAGCTGTCGGCCTTCTCCATTGATCGTATTTCCGGGCATTGTACAATTTTATATTGAAGATTGATAACAGGACAACTCAAATTGCACGCCGATTTCAAGTAAGTTGTCACTCTGACAAATATGATTGAAAAGCACTCATACGTAACGACAAAGTTTTCGAGACGGAGACACACAACTAAAAAACGTATGTCTTTGAACTTACCGAACAAACGTTAACGCTCAGGGGTAGGTTGCATGTGTATGTATGAGGGACATGGAGATATATAAACGGATACTGGTAGTCTTCCTTTGACCCGCCAAGCACGGTGACTACAACTATAGAATCCAATACTTGACTTGATAACAGAGTACACCTACTTGACGTTGTTATTGAATTTCAATCATAGGGACACAAATGATCCTTTTAAAATCACTAAGCCACTTGAGTGGACTTCAGCTGCCGTATCTCTAAGCTGCAGATTTGTCGCATTGGATTGATTTCCACCAGTCTCCACATATGCACATATGGTGCTGGAGGCTGCTTGGATTGGGTTCGGAACACACAAACACGTACGTGCAGGTCTCGGGAGGCTGCGGTCTAATTTATCGGGCCCTTTGCTAAGGCCCCGAAAGACATCTGCTTCCTTTCTGCTGGGCCAAAGCGACGCTCTAACGCCGCCATCGAAATGCGGCGTGCCGCGTCATCGCGTGTCGTGTGCCATATGATGCCGCTAAACTTGGAAAAGTTGTATAGTCTGGTTGATCGAACCAACCGATGAATTCGGACTAGGTAGAAGGAGCAAGTATACGATTTGTTTATAACCAAAATTACGTATTCAGTAGTCAGGATGCAAGTTCGTAATTACAAGTCGATCAGGCTTAAGCCGCCAGTTTGACAGTTCTTGACATTCCACATTGAATTCGAACTTTTCTGCGAAAACATATAAAAGTGCCTGGGTTCCATACAATCGTAGTGTTCCAGACAGTTACTGAAAATGGCGAAGGTTTCTGTAGATTGCAAATAGCAGTTCAAACTGAATAAGAGCAAATATTTTTATCGATAATTATTATATAGTCATCGGCGTTGCGAAATGGTAATTAACTCAATATTGGGATTTTTCTTGTACAGTTGTGAGGTGATTTTGATTTATTTCATTCCACATTATAAAATAAGAATGGCATATTTTAAACGCAAACTTCAATTTTGAGCTCTCTATTTCACGGATTACAGCTCATACCGTTTGATGCATTTTGACATTTGAAGTGTCCTTAGATTCGTCTTGATATCTCAGTTCATTATTCATTCATTTCAGTTACTGCAGGCAGATCGTGCAAAAATACTTGGTACTTGTACCAGTTTTGAGCCATTTTCATATGCTGGTATTTGTCGCTAACATGGTCAAATTTTCTTAGCCTTTGGATAAAATGAATGCAATTATTCTGAATAATGTTCAGCTCGTTCTTCATGAACGGGATAGTACAGAATAACGCAATAACATGAAATTGACTAAACAAGAAACTCGAATATTTTTTTCCTTAATTTATAATTTAGAAGATGGCGATTTTCAAATAATGCTGTCATTGTGGCATATATATTTATAGTTAGTGACATGGCGTGGTCCCTAAACCTTGATTTGCTGTCTTTTTCAACTCATAAAATCTTAGCTGAATGTGCAAGTTGCCTTCCGTTGTCCCCCCTAATGGGCACCCATTTTCGTGAGCCCAAAAATTTCAGGCGGATAAAATAGAAATAGTTGCAGGAGCTTCTAAAATGGTACTTTGTATACTGCAATAGTGAGAGCGATACTTCTCAACAAAACAGTGAATAACAAATTTCACAATTCCTAAATCAAGTATCCAGTAAATTCTGTAAATATAGTTTTTTAACAATAGGCTAATATGAAGCGCTTTGATCTATTAATTCCAATGTGCGTGAAACTTCAAAATTAGATGTTAAATTTCTCCTCCACTGGATCGATTTCCAGAAACTACACAACTATCTGCAAATTTGGATCAAATTATAATTGCGTGAAATGCCATTAGGGTGGCGAGCACCAACTAAGACTAAACTAGTTTGTTGTTGAAAATGTATGAAAATACTCGTAGTGACCTCAGTTGACATCATTCATATACAGAAGGCATAATTTTGAATAATCAGCATCATACTCGTTTAGTTTTAAATCCTCCTGCTTTTTCCAAAAAACTACATTTAAGCATACTAATTGACCGTACTATATCGCCGACTAAACCAAGGTAGAAAAAAGAGAATTTTACTGTTCATCGGGTTTTATACAGTCGTATAAGATCGCTAAAAGACTCCCTATCCTTGTCTCACTCCGGAAGCCGCCGCAGATGCGCGAGACTCGTGGGCGAGATATTAAGGGATAATTAAGGACAGAGGCACGCCACCACGTCAGCCACAGCCACCAAGCGAGAGCACCTTGTCTGCCCTAAAAGCCTACAGAAATAACGTTAGATTTACGAGTTCCCTTATTTGCCTAGATTTCGCTTTTCAGAAGTTAATAATGATTTATATGGTCAAAACTCATAAAATTTTTGATATATTAATTTGTTTTGCTTACGCTCAACAGATATTAGAGGTTAGATATGACTTTTGGTTTGGCAGTTATTAGCCTTGTTTGGAAAGATTTACAAGGTTGCGGTTGTTCCGTGAGATTACGATTGCTAATGAAGATTGAGGAGGGTTTTATATATCAACGGATTGAAAAGCTTTTCGCATTTTTTTTTGATATATCAAGATCGATAGTTCTCCAATTTTAAATTAACACTTACATTCTTTCTTCCATACTTTAGGGTTTGCATTTGATCACAATTCATAGAAATGTATAAAATTTGTATTTTTTCAATGCATTGTTTTGACAGATTTGAATCTAATTCGTGATTAACATAAGATTTATGTAACGTTTTATCAGAGATATATTCCCATACTATTCCAATTCTCGTGAGATACATTATTGGAATCCTAAAAGCTATTATATGAAACCCGGTTTTTGATAACTTATATGCAAAAAGGAAAGTGGATTCGAGCAGAAAATAGGATAGGTAACCCGAGCGATACGTATTTATGCTGGATTTCGGGCCTGATGAAGCCAATGCCCATTATTTTCCTACTTTTTGTTATATATCTTTCTCCGCACGATCATTTTCTTTTTATAATATATATATATATATATATATATATATATATATATATACAGTAATGGACAAAAGTATATAGACAAATATGAATATTTACCTAAATACCTTTAGAAAACGAATTCATACTTCATTGCTCCATAAACAAATGCGTTATTAGTAGAAAAACTAAACTCCTTGTTTTTACATTATCTGCAATGAACACAATACAGGTCTGAATATAAGGACTTTTTTATGAGGGACAAAAATATGTAGACAAATTCTTTTCAACATTAGTTTAGTACAGTTTCGTGTCAGAAGAGGATTAGTTTGTGTTCATCAAGTATTGTGGAATAAGTTGAGTGATTTTAAGACCATGCCGCGTGGTCCAGAAATTTCTTTCGATGTGAAAACTAAGATCATTGAGTTACAGTTACAAAGATGGTGAACTTCAAGTCGACATTGCCAAAAATTTGAAGCTGAAGCGTAAAGGAGTTTGGGCAATATTGAACAAAATGTAAACAAAAAGGTATCTTGGAAGCCTCTAAGAGAAGTGGTCGGCCTAGAAAACTAAATGCTAGATCAGTTAGATTAATGAAAGGCCAAAGAAACGTTTAAAACCCCAAGACAAATAAAAGCCGAAATCAAGACAAAATGAATTGTCAGTGTTTCTACGAAAACTATAAGTAAAAGATTAAATGATTTGAAGTTATTTGCATATCGCCCGAATAAGAAGCCGCTAATCTCGAGGAAAAACCGTAAGGACAATTTGCACGGTTGCATCTTGATTGGAGCATCTGTGACTGGAAGAGGGTATGTTTCAGTGACGAATCCAAGTTCAATATGTTTGGATCAGATGGTGTTCATTACGTTAGACGTCTTAGTGGACAAAGATTGAACCCCAAGTACACTTTGCCCACTGTCAAACATGGAGGCGGGTCTGTTATGGTTTGGGGGTGCTTTTCGGGGTTTGGGATGGGACCTTTACATAGAATGGATGACATTATGGATAAGTTTGTATACACAGTCATACTAAAGCATGTCATGTTACCCTATATGGAAGACAACATGCCCTTAAGATCAATCTTCTAGCAAGATAATGACCCGAAGCACACTTCAGTTCTCGCAAAGAAATTATTTCTGGATGAAAAAATACCAGTTCTCAAATGGCCTTCAGTCTTCCGATATAAACCCCATTGAAAATCTATGGGAATACTTAGATAAGCAAATACGAGATAAAAATTATTCAAACAAGGATGAACTTTTTGCCGCTTTAGAGCAAAAGTGGAGACATATTGATGAATCTTATATCAAGAAACTTCTACAATCTATGCCGAGACGATCCCAGGCGGCGATTGATAATAATGGTTATGCTACAAAACATTAACACAAACATGGTTGGTTTTCTATAATTCAATGAACTTTGCTTCTTTTTTCTATAATTGTTTTGCTTTGTCTATATATTTTTGTCCTTCATAGTTCCAGTTTTTTCAATTAATTTTTTATTGAAGGGAGTCTAATGAATTTATTTATGTATAAGTGAGTATTATGTATACAGGTTGGTGTATTAATAAAACAAGTTAAAAAAGAAATACAGCACAATATTAATTTGTCTATATAGTTTTGTCCATTACTGTATATATATATAGAGAGAGAGAGAGAGAGAGAGAGAAAATAATCATGCGGAGAAATGTATATAACAAAAAAAAATAGGAAAATAATGGGCAAAATCCGCGAAAAGGAGGAAAGTGGATTCGAGCAGAAAATAGGATAGGTATATGCAACTACAAAAGTAGATACACATGCTCATACATCCGGATACGGGTGTAACCTGAGGAAATAAAGATAGATGGGAAAAAATCACATACGAAGTCCACAACAAGAGCCAACCTACACATTGTAGTATAAAATAGCTAGAAGACCTCGAATTTTCAAGGCGACATCTAACCACAACCACGCGGCCGGTTATAGCCACTTGCTGTGGTACTTCAAGCCCAAAGGATCTACAAAGAGAAAATAATCATGCGGAGAAATGTATATAACAAAAAAATAGGAAAATAATGGGCAAAATCCGCGAAAAGGAGGAAAGTGGATTCGAGCAGAAAATAGGATAGGTAACCCGAGCGATACGTATTTCTGCTGGTTGGCTTCATCAGGCCCGAAATGAATGCACATATGCAACTACAAAAGTAGATACACATGCTCATACATCCGGATACGGGTGTAACCTGAGGAAATAAAGATAGATGGGAAAAAATCACATACGAAGTCCACAACAAGAGCCAACCTACACATTGTAGTATAAAATAGCTAGAAGACCTCGAATTTTCAAGGCGACATCTAACCACAAACACGCGGCCGGTTATAGCCACTTGCTGTGGTACTTCAAGCCCAAAGGATCTACAAAGAGAAAATAATCATGCGGAGAAATGTATATAACAAAAAAATAGGAAAATAATGGGCAAAATTCGCAAAAAGGAGGAAAGTGGATTCGAGCAGAAAATAGGATAGGTAACTCGAGCGATACGTATTTCTGCTGGTTGGCTTCATCAGGCCCGAAATGAATGCACATATGCAACTACAAAAGTAGATACACATGCTCATACATCCGGATACGGGTGTAACCTGAGGAAATAAAGATAGATGGGAAAAAATCACATACGAAGTCCACAACAAGAGCCAACCTACACATTGTAGTATAAAATAGCTAGAAGGCCTCGAATTTTCAAGGCGACATCTAACCACAACCACGCGGCCGGTTATAGCCACTTGCTGTGGTACTTCAAGCTTAAAGGATCTACAAAGAGAAAATAATCATGCGGAGAAATGTATATAACAAAAAAATAGGAAAATAATGGGCAAAATCCGCGAAAAGGAGGAAAGTGGATTCGAGCAGAAAATAGGATAGGTAACTCGAGCGATACGTATTTCTGCTGATTGGCTTCATCAGGCCCGAAATGAATGCACATATGCAACTACAAAAGTAGATACACATGCTCATACATCCGGATACGGGTGTAACCTGAGGAAATAAAGATAGATGGGAAAAATCACATATGAAGTCCACAACAAGAGCCAACCTACACATTGTAGTATAAAATAGCTAGAAGACCTCGAATTTTCAAGGCGACATCTAACCACAACCACGCGGCCGGTTATAGCCACTTGCTGTGGTACTTCAAGCCCAAAGGATCTACAAAGAGAAAATAATCATGCGGAGAAATGTATATAACAAAAAAATAGGAAAATAATGGGCAAAATCCGCGAAAAGGAGGAAAGTGGATTCGAGCAGAAAATAGGATAGGTATATGTGCATTCATTTCGGGCCTGATGAAGCCAACCAGCAGAAATACGTATCGCTCGGGTTACCTATCATATTTTCTGCTCGAATCCACTTTCCTCCTTTTCGCGGATTTTGCCCATTATTTTCCTATTTTTTTGTTATATACATTTCTCCGCATGATTATTTTCTCTTTGTAGATCCTTTGGGCTTGAAGTACCACAGCAAGTGGCTATAACCGGCCGCGCGTTTGTGGTTAGATGTCGCCTTGAAAATTCGAGGTCTTCTAGCTATTTTATACTACAATGTGTAGGTTGGCTCTTGTTGTGGACTTCGTATGTGATTTTTTCCCATCTATCTTTATTTCCTCAGGTTACACCCGTATCCGGATGTATGAGCATGTGTATCTACTTTTGTAGTTGCATATGTGCATTCATTTCGGGCCTGATGAAGCCATCCAGCAGAAATACGTATCGCTCGGGTTACCTATCCTATTTTCTGCTCGAATCCACTTTCCTCCTTTTCGCGGATTTTGCCCATTATTTTCCTATTTTTTTGTTATATATATATATATATATATATATATATATATATATATCTCAACTTGGTTTGCCTACTCTCCAAGGGTAGGCATTAGAGCTTAGATAGGACCACACTCAGGATGATTTTCAAGCACAGGGATCGCCCATGAAAATTGAAAGTGATTTATCTTTACAGAACTCATAAAAGTTATACTATATTCTTGGTATTGGAGATTAGATAGTTCTTAAATTTAAGAGCTATGTACCTAGTTCAGGAGAATTTTTAAGGTGGATTGAATAGCTTATACCTACGAAAAACCATTGACGCAATTCTCTCATTTGCTATAGATATAAAGATGGAATTACACAAACAACGCCTATCTTGTAATTTCAATTTTTTTGTTGAAAAAGTACATTTTGATGCTTGGTAGTTACATAAGCACGTGGATTATTCTACAACAAGTTGCCGATTATTGAAGAAAATTGATCGAATAACTCTTGTGTATTTTTTTCACGATAGTCAATTCATGGTTTGAATGTAAACGGGAAATTGGACTTTTTTCTCAGGTGCTTTGCCCGGGTTTCCCCTACGTACCTTAGAAATATTAAAGCATGCGAAATTAAAACATGTAGCATGTTAATGAATATTTAAGTATAATTTTCAATAATAAGTAATGATAAATAATAATAAAAAATATGTGGTTCTTTTGCTTAAGTTGTATACATCTAACCCTATTTCCTGCAAAAACAATGTAAGCCCATAACAGTTTTCCGGCCTTTCACCATAATTATTATTAATAAACTGATTTCAATCTTGTACAACTCAATTACTACATTGTATTTGAAAAAGTTCCTTAAACCTGATTTATTTGTTAGTGTTAGTTTTTATTGTCTCCTGAAAAATTCATTTTATGGGATTTACCCTCTCAAACAAACCAAGGTTTTACAATGTCATATCCAAAATGATAAAAAAAACTTCTTCAAATTCATTTTCTCACAATTTATGATATTTAATGTTGTACAGGCACGTCGTAATTTTGACGATTTATCGGAATTTTGAGACAAAAATACTAACCTTGTGTTTAATAGCCTACATGTATGTCTGACCACCGCAAAGTTGCATAAAATTGAGGAACAAATACAATAGATTATATTTTTAAATCCTCGCCCACAATTATCTTCTATAAAGTCTGTCTTTCTACTATATAACTATATATAACAGTCGCCTCCAAGGACCTTGTAAACACATACAGTGGGCATATGATTTGCTGGTATAAATTACGTCATTTTTAAAACTTTCATTGATATTATTTATGCCCCAGTCTGAAATAGTATTTCTGTCTTTAACCAAATGTAAGTCATTTGTCATAATTCCAATCTTTTTCCCAGTAGAAGAGCGCAATGACATATAAGCCGTTTTTCTATGTTTAAGTCTACATCATTTTTGAAAGTACTGATTATCTATAATTCTTTCACTCAAACTCAATGATTACAGCGTATTATCTGGCCTAAAAAGGTTTTCCTTCAATCACTGCATTTCTGAATTCTCAACTAAATCACTTAAAAATGATTAACGTTTACAGGAAGCCCTGCGAAGAAGTACAACGATCGATATTTATTCGTAGGACACCCTCTATATTTTTGGCAAGAAATTGTTTTCCATTCTACTTATATCTGGATTACCAAAAATACAGATTTGAAAAGCAGAATAAGTCCTTTCCTGATGTGGGAGACTAATTATGGTAACTTGAAAAGCATAATTCATTACTCTCTAAAATTACTGTAATTTCAAGTTATTATACTCTGACTGTTGTTTTACCGTTTCATAGTAACAAGATAATGTCTAAACGGAGCCAAAAATTCTCAAGTTGTCGAAATATGTATTGCATATAATGATATAATAATAGGTATTGCGTAAAAATACAAAGGGCAATATTTCCTACCTAAAAAACTTTCAATCATACCACACCGGCTCACAGAATTTGTGTTTGGAAATTTCTTGTAAAATAGTATTGTCGTTTATGTGACTGAATAATTTTCAGTAGGAACATTTTAATCACTATTTTCTCATTGCTCTCTATGATTACTACTTATTAAAATACCACCTCAGGTGAAGGTTAAATATAATAATAAATTTTATTTGTACAATACTTTGCAATGTTTTAAAAGCATATGTTACACTTCAAATGGAGACCTAGATCTCAGAAGTGCAGATTTGTAGATATGGTATGTAAATTGCTCTATGTAAATTGAAAACGGCGTGAAAACGCAATGCAGTTAATCCGAGCTGTTTTTCAACCGTTTTAATGTTCCGAATAAATAAACAAACTACACTTTGATAAATCCAAAGGGTAGCTTAATTAGACTTAACACTATTGTTTATTGTATCCTACATTTGAAATAGACATTGTTTCTACGACTACGGTGTTCCTCATTGGCTTAAGTAAATATAGCTCGCACACACTAGATCACTTTCTTAGTATTTTCGAAATCGCTGATATCGTTTACTAACGGTAGCTCAGATGGAACAAATTGTTGAGAACCATGTTCTAAGATTTTGGAACCATGAGACTTTTTCTTCTGGCTCTAATTTTTTCCCTTGTAATATTCTCGATTATGTCGGTCACTATATTCGCCGGAAGCGAAGTGCATGGTGGGGGGACTGAATCGATCGCCGCGAATATATGTGGTGAAATCCGTGTGAGATGAAATCAACTGAGGCATTATCATCGCGCACCTAACAAACAACTCAAATATTCGAGGCTTTTGATTTTTTATTGATATGATCTTGGTTATTTTTTCCATTGTGCAGAGGAATTCCTCGCTTGAGAAGTATTCGGTCCACGGGATTTTCTTGCTGAAATGTTGTCTACATTTTCAGTGAATCTGGACGCAGTCACACTTTCAAGCTTAATAGATGAGTTCCATATTAAAGAAATATTTTCTTGTGGTCTAATTTTCGAAATTAGTGACAGCCCTTTCTACCGAAATGTCACATTCGGCAATTTTATTACTCCAAATTGTACTTAACTCTTACTGACATGTTGTTATTCAAAAAATCTTAACTTATTAACACCACCCCTATTACCTAGATGAAAAACAACCCTGTTTGTGTCGTTTACCTTTCTTAAAATAGTGCTGGTATATAAAAACACATCAGGTACTTTATGTTTAGGATCCTCGAGGTGTAGCATATGTTGAGCCCAGGCACGTTCCTCATCCGATGATGATGGGCTAAAGAAGCGGCATATGTGGCGCTTTGTCTCCATAAAAAACTGCTATGCCGCTAACCGCAATCCGCCAAAGACCTTCTAGTCAAAAACTAGAGCGTCATTCAATTAAAAAAATACGTTATACTTAATTAACGAACGTTTTAGTTAAGTAGTTCTGACTTGCTTTCTATTATGCGCTTTCATTAGAATTTGAATGTTATTGTTCTATGTCGATTAGTCGGTTATCTTTGATTTTTTGCAACATGGAATATGCTGTTCAGTATTTCAAGCAATCTGTCACCACTAGATTGAAAGGCTTTGGAGCTTTTTGAACATGAATCAATGGCGTTTCAAGCTGGGTATTGATCTTATATACAATACATCAAGTTGATCAACTTACTTTTGACTTATTACTATTAAGTAACTATCAATTTTATCTTTTTGCAAGTATCGCATTTTAATTTGTTTTCCGCAATCAACGATTCAAACATAGTGTAGTGATCTTGACACTTTTTTGTGCATACGAGAAGTATAAGTAAAAGAACCAAGACTCCAATGTTTAGAAAAGTTGTGATGTCATAAGTTTCAGCGGGACGTGTCAAGTTTTACCACGTCCTGTCTGTAGATGTGATGCTACTTCTCACATGGGCATTAATTAGACTTCCTTCAGATGTGAAGTAAATAATCTTTATTATCTGACGTTGATATTTTATCGTAGACATTATTGCTGCGTTCTATAAGTACCCAAAATATAAATAAAATCGTATTGACTTAAGCATCCGGTGGGAGATGCAGTGGACTTGATGAGTTCTTTCTATTTAAGTGCAATTTTGTCTGAATAAAGAATACCTTATTGTATCCCTCAATCCCGCAATAAATTGACCCCCGTCTTAACTTTTTCATATAACGTTTTCGAAAATATAATTATATAAAAAAGCTGTATGATCTAATATAAAGTTTGTCAGTCTTCTGTGCTATAAAATAAAGCTTTATTTTTTAAATGTCATAGTTATGATCAAAATGATAGTATTTTTTTTTTCAGATTCTAAATATGTATGCTTATTTTCTTACTCTAATTAAAAACTGTTATTTAATCGTGTGTACCTGGCCTTATACAGATTGCATAGACGGCTAGATAGAAACTGGTTTGAACTTGGATGCACATAAATAAATAACACACAAAATTAAAGTTTTTGAACTGTATTCGAGCACTTTTCTGAAATACACTGTTAAAAAAGAGATTGCACGTAAAACATATTAGACCCCTTATCTCTTTGTATAAAACATTTTTTCTAAATGGTCATACAGAAAGTTAGAGGGAGGGGTGAATATATAGTGGGACACCCTGTACGAGGGTATGTATGATATTAACATGTTTCTATTTTATATTGCCATATGTGGTATTTGCAAAAATAACCTATCATATACAAACTGAAGTCTTCAAACTACAATGTCTTTGGTCGCGGCCTGAAACCCAAGCGAGAAGGCAAAATTAACTTTTTTCGCTTGTTAGTAAAGTCATTTTTTAGCAGCATATGCACCACGGCGCTATAAGAACGCTTATATTTATTTAGCCTACACCTATTTGGACCGCCCTTGGCATATGGTCTATCAAATGCCGGCCAGAATTACGATTTTTGATCCCGTGGGTGTTCTTACTTTCAAAAAGATAATTTTGATTCTAGACCCTTTGTTTTTTCTTCCTCTGAAGTCATATGTGCAATTGAGTTAAAAGGTTCAAAAAAAATTTGTAATCTGTAACATGCGAAATTCAAGTCCTTCTTTGAAGGTTAAAGATACATTTTGAAAATCAGGTACTAACTTTAACCATAGTTGTTATCTGCAGGAAAAGATGCATTATATTATTATAGGTACGTCTAGAAACGGTATCATATAGCCAATTTTTTGTCTCAATCTTCATTTACTTGAGTCGCTCTTTCTGTAAGAGCGCAAATGGCGTCAAGTAGATTGACTATACTTCCCACGCCTTCGAAACAACTTCCCTGTAATGCAATGACATCAAGAGATGAAGGTTCTGTCAGAAACATTAGTGCACTATTTGTGCTTTCGATAAAAAAGTGATTTCAGATTGCAGCAATGCGACACCTCAAACCTCCATTTGTTAACCCCTAAATAATTTCAAAAATGACCAGGATCCTTTTAACGTCCGAAGCGAAGTTTTAGCGATTTTTTTTATTCTAAAAAACATAATATCTCATTTACGAAATTTTTCACGATGTCCGTGCGGTCCTTGAGGAAGCTTCTTATATAAGTAAGTCTTGAAGTTAAGGAACTACTGTCGAAGCCATACTCCATTTCTGTGCATTACTATGTTATTTTTTTTAATACCTGCACTTCCTGTCCATTTACCTGTTGATTTCTAATGCTATAATTGGTATACTTAAGCCTTGTCTTGCTATGATCTTTTTTTTAACTACATTCCTTTAATCGTACATTATAGGTATATGACCATTCTGCCCTTATCCTATTTTCTTTCAAATAGTTGTATTTTCATCTTTAATGGTGATGGAGTTAAATATCCTTAACTAGACTGGACTGTTTTATGAAGAAAGTTGTATGTTATAAATAGAGTCGGTTATTTTATTTATTATTATTACTGTGCAAGTTGATAAGGAGACCTACACGGAAGGTATTTGAGAACACTCCTGTAACTACCAAGTGACAAAACAAGATGTTCTGAAAATGAAGAGACCTGAAACGGTAGTTTAAGTTCGACCCATACTCGGCTTCGTATGGTCACATCCTGTGCCTTAACTTACCAGAGGATATGTTATACTAATTCTTAAAGATGTTTCCTATAAAATACCCATCATGAGGAGCATTCAAATTATGGAATAATTTCATAAAGCAGCACCATTCATGCATTTTGTTTATTTAATACAGTCGTTATCCGTTTGTTTGTATTTGTATCCAATAACAATAGATCGTTTTATTGTTTTATGAATGTGTACACATAAAAGTATATGGCAAGAATAAACCGTTAGGGAATTTTTATGTGTTCCGATTATGTACTTTGCTCGCCTTTATAAGATCATTTTCTTTCCGCCGATGTAGGTATTTTCTCACTAATGAGCTGTGACTTACGGTGAAAATTATGCCAGATTAAACATAATCGGTAACCTCGTTTTTATCAAAGTATACTGACGAATAGTAGGATCACTGTGCCGTCAAATCAGCATCTTTCTGCAACGCAGCTGTTATTTTTAGTACAGTGGACCCCCGATAATCCGGCCCCTGTCTAATCCGGTCCCTGTCTAATTCGGCCCCTGTCCAATCCGGCGCCCCCTGTAATCCGACATGTCTTTGAATATGTGTTACACACATACGTATTTGACAATCTTCGCTAATCTAGATCACGCAGGTTTGAACAGGTTACAACTTGTACGCGCCACCGCTATCGTGCTCGACGCCTAAGCGTTGTTTTACTTAGTTTGAAGTTGATTACTGGTGATAGCGGTACGGCTTAGCGTGCGTTCATTGTTTACTATTTATTCATTATGTATTAAGTA